GTGCTCTCTTTTCATTATTAATTATAAGTGGATATCTGTCCAGTTCTGCTCAACAAGCAGTTGTTGGTGTTTTTCTGTGTATAAAATGTATCAGCAGATTTCTGCATGTAAATGCTCTGTTGGGTGTTTGTCCCAGTGGACCCCGTACTTCGCTACCATATGGCACAATAGGTTGGATGGCACTAATATTTTAAGCCATATTTAAATTGAAAAATTAGAAGCTAAAACATTTTCTCTTAGTTGCATTTAGAGCTCTTTGTGCATTCACTGCCATGTTGAAACTCCCTGATGATGTTATGGTTAAGATAAGATGAGCCTTTATTAGTCAAATAAAGGGGAAATTCATAGACAGGTATAACTTATACTGTGTTCAGTGGATGTGATTGTTTATCTTCTGACATTACTAGTTACTTTTTAGAATCAGATTACTAATACAAAATACAGTATAACCATCTCTGGTGGGAAATTCATAAGCAATGCAGCAGTATTGAAAGTATATAGGGTAGTAAACATTAGCTCCACCTTTAAGAGCTTCAGAATTAAATGTGATATAATGCATCAATAATTATAATCCATTAATATAATATTTATTAATGTAAAATGTGCCATTCTGCATAATGAGTGCTTTTAGTTTTGGTACTGAGCACAAACATGAACTCCTCCAATTTGGTTTCTGAGGACATTGATGTGCTGTGTGTCTACTCCATTACAGCAAGACTCTTAAAACCAAATGTAAGGATACTTGTGCATATTAACAAACATATGACCATGGATTTTAAGGTATTTTATGTGCATGACACATTTTAATCACAAATAAATTCAGCTTACATATGAATTAATGACTGGAGGGATCATTTAGTCCTTAGGTGCTTTTCCCCTTCTTTTTTTTAGGTTACAGTAATAAGATGTAGTAAGCAGGACTAAATTACTATGCAGCAGCAATTTACTGTTGTTTGTGTATGACTGTGTACTGTATATGTACTTTTTCTCCCTGCAGTCAGACATACATAAATACTCCAAACCACCACTTGGTGGCAGCGGTTTCAAGTCCCGTCAGACCAAAAACTATTTGCATATAGTGTAAAAGTAGCCTATGTAATGTTTAAGGTGCTAAAAATAACTTTTAAGTAAGATGTATATGACACAATAGTGAGTGGTTAGAGTGGCTGTAGTCAAGCCAAATATCCAGACATGCCCTTCTGGTGAGACAAGCACAAACCTATTTGATCAAGGTCTAATTAAGTGGCATATTTATGCAGCAGTCATGGAGAATATGCATTTAGTTTATCTGTTATATGTACTGTAATGATCCAGTAAATCCAAAGTGTACCATCCTTGCAGACTTCTGTACTCCTTTAGACAAAAAGAGCAGCAAAAAACAATGGGAAACAAGTGTATTCTGTTGCAGCACTGCCTCCTGCATCAAAATGTCAGACTGGTTGTTTCCATGTCTCACGAGAAATGCCTCTGAATCAGGTATACACTTAAACATGCACTTTTTGGAATCCACTCTTGTGTGTGTTTTCAGTTTTTCATTCAAGCAGGGCAAATTTGCAGCGTTAAGCAGAAATGTCTCACTCACTGGAAAAAAGCAACAAAAGCTGCTTGTTCATCTGCAACACATCTGCCAGTAGGTAGGAGCAGGTTTATTCTGCACAGCATATCAAAGGCAAAACATGGTTTAAAAAATTGACACTTTGATTGGATTAGGGGTGTAATATTTCCTGAATAATGGCAACCCAACAAACACCCATCTGGGGGAGGGGGTCTGTCATAATTATTAACAGCAAACACAGGCTCAGTGCACTCAGTAAACATTACACTTGACTCAGAATACCTGTTGTGAAATTTAATATAGTTATAGAAGAGAATGAGGTACACATTACTTTCTAGAATTATACCTTTGTGTGCAATGTTATAATTAGCCAGCTCTAGTCAGTCTGTAAGTCCACCATTATGTTCAAATATTGCTAACTATAGTTAACAATTAGTAGTATGTAGTTATAGTTATTATTGATGAGACTGCTGTGAAGTTTTGTAGAAAAAAATCTAAACCCTACCCCCACTTCTGATCCCTGCTTTTCCTCTAATGTCAATTTATTTATGAATTCTAGGTATATAAACATTATTTCCAAACTAACAAATATGAGTGATTTCACAACTTTGTGTACCTTGTGAATATGTTACAGCAGTGCAGAGATTTTACCCTAAAAGATTGGCCTAACACTAGAACAGTCTGAAATATCATTGTAGGGTTTATTTTGGCTCAAGGCCAAATATCTGAAAATAATAACATGTAATAGTCATATATACTGTAAATTTTAAATAATGAACAATTTTAAAAATTCATAAAACTTATATTAACTAAGTATATAAATAAACTACTACTGCATTTTAATTATAAGGTGACAAAAGTGTAAATCTTTGAAAGCCTCTTCAAGAACAGAAGCACACAACTTGGACAAGTTCTACTGGCAGCAAAGAATTTGCTGGAAAAAATGCTTGCTGCTAAAAGTCTAACATACATTTTGGAAATCAGTGTCTATTTATCTAACAGTTTGGTTTTCCTTACACTGAGCCTCACAGAGCTGCCGGTGCAGCTGCTGACACTGAGCCTTGGTTTTGGTTAAAGCTGCCCTGGAGCCATGGTTTAAAATGTTAGTATGTCAGCATAAAATTGTAGGAAAACAAAGTATTACAGTCACTATATGTAGCCCACCGAACAATAAAAATAATGTTCTAGATCTCCTATGTGATCCACACTGATCCAAGGTCAGTTAGATACAAAGAATGTTTTCAGTAGCTAGCGCTTGCTATTGTTATAAAATTCTTTTCAGTCTGATAATGGTTGTCTGGCACATCTCAAGGAGGTTCTGAGTCTGAATTCCTGTGTCTCCCTCTTCCAGTTACTCAATTGTAACTTCCCCTCTTTCCATTTTCCATGTTGTGTTGTGCTTTGGTACAGGACAATGGAGATGCAGTTAAACAGATGACGATGGAAAGACCTTCCTGGACCCTTATGTATGATGGGGCCAATCTACATCAGTCTTTGGGGGAGGGGGAGCTGACAGATTAAGGTCATAGGGTGGTGAGACAAACATCTCAACCAGGTCCTGTGGGGAGTTAGGCCACCATGCTGCCACCTAGCTCCCAGTAGGAGGCCTGTAAATTCAAGCATCCAAAGACTAAAAGCTCTTCTCATCTCTGAGGAGGATTGCAGCTCTTTTCAAATGTACACAGGTGTGTACATTTCTGTGAGAGAAGGATAAGGGAGGGCAGAAAAGAATAGTGGAGCAGTTGGACAAAAGAATGATTACAGGGGGTCAACATTTTGAGTGCATAATCAAATTTTACATTTACATGGATGTCTGTGGCTTAATTTTAGTGCTTGGATATTTGTAAGTTGTCGTTTTCTGCTCGCTGCAGTATGCAGGACTGCAGTCGTAGTTTACAGCTGGCTGTGATGGAAACCAGGCCGTGTTTGACCTCAAGCTTTCTCATGACTGTCACTTATGCGCTCATACAGGTCAAGGTTGTAGACAGTCCTGCCTGCAGCCATCTCTTCTTTGTTTGTTTCTGTTTTATTTAAATAGTAATAGATAAGTTCCCATCTCTCCTGGAGACCACTATCTAACATGATACTGTACCATTAAAAACATTTAGCTAAGGGTACATTTACAGTATAAAATGTTGCTGAGGAACTGATAAGGGCTCTAGTCACCATGATGGCACCTTTAGGTTTACTACCATTTGCAACAGTAATTACAGTGGAGAAAAAACCAGTGAAATGACTCTTTCTTTCTGTCCTTGTGACTCTTACCTTTTCTGTCTTTTTTGTGTCCCTCTTTTTCTTTATCACTGAATGTGACTCAGTCAAACGTCAATGGTGGTTGGCTGTTGTTATCAAAAGACATTTCAATTTGGCGGCCGTCCCTCGAGCCCAACCAAATTACCACTTCAAAGGGTTGCGAGTTCCCAGGTTGCTCCCAGTCGGCCCGGCCCAGAACGCTCTCTCTCTCTCTCCCTCCCCCTGCTGCTCAGCAATGCTGATGAGGGCCAAGGCTGCCTTGAGCATGCTTGCCCCTCCATGCTTAACAGAACTCTCTTCAGGGGAATAGGGAGCATGCTCATTATTC